TTAGTCCGAGAGCCTAAACAGATTGGGGCAAGGCAACTGAAGCCTTTTTGATCTGGTGGTGCAGGGTTTCTCCTTGTTGTGTGTCCTTGGTCTTTCAGGCCTGTCTGTCGCCTGCACGGGCATTTGCCGGGGAGCCAAATTGTAAGATCTTGATCCGGCAAAGGGTGGGAAATCGTCACAGTGTCTCAGATGAAGGTGGGAGGCACAAGTGTAGAGTCATGGCTCAGCATGCATTTTAGGATTTTTTTTTTCTTTCAAATTTGGGTGAACGTGTATGCTGTCTCTTGCAGCACATGGCATGAGAAGGAGAGAGGAGGAGGAGGAGGAGTGCCTTTGCGTCAACAACCAATAGATGGTGCTGTTTTGGGTTGAAGTGGTGGAGCTCGGTCGAATGTAAGAGAGGAAAAGAAAGCAGCACGTCTGCCTACGGCCATACCACCCTGAACACGCCCGATCTCGTCTGATCTCGGAAGCTAAGCAGGGTCGGGCCTGGTTAGTACTTGGATGGGAGACCGCCTGGGAATACCGGGTGCTGTAGGCTTTTTGTCTCCACCGGAGCTCCAGAATCATTTGCCGTTTCTTCAACCAAGAGGCCAGGCTGACTTTCTTTTTTGCTGCCTGGCCTTAGCGCCCGGCTCTCCGGCCCATTGGAACGAAAGCAGGAAAGGCCTGCTGCAGATGCCCTTCTCTTCCCTTGGGTTTTTTTGTTCTCCAGTGTCTCCTGCTTGGCAAATGCATTGATGCTGACTCAGGTCCTGCAAATCAGCTCAACTTTCTGAAAATTAGAGAAAATAATTTCTCCAATCCAAATTCAGGAAATCGGGGCCTTTAGGGGGCTAAGTTTTCCAACCAAAAGGGCTCTACGAGAAAATAGAGAGATGTCCTGCTATCATTATTTCAAACAGGCAGGTTAGTTCTCTTGCCCAAAAACTTAGGGAGCTCCATGGATTTACTGTATTTGGCCATGCAGCCAAAACTGCAAATGCGGTTGGATTCCTGAACTGTGAAGAAAACTGCAATGAAGGGTCCGAATTTCTGTGCTCAAGGGCTTTTGGAATTTCTAATTTTGGGGGCCTAAGTCCGAGAGCCTAAAACCATTGGGGAAAGGTAGCTGAAGTGTTTTGTTGTAGTGCTGCAGCATTTCTCCTTGCTGCGTGTCTCTGGTCTTCCAGGCTTGTCCATCTCCCACAGAGAAACTTGCAGAGAGGCCAAACTGTAAGGTCTTGGTCAGGCATAGGGTGGGAAATCGTCACAGTGTCTCAGGGCCAGATGAAGGTGGGAGGCACAAGTGTAGAGTCATGGCTCAGCATGCATTTTAGGAATTTGGGTGAATGTGTATGCTGTCTCTTGCAGCACATGGCAGGAGAAGGAGAGAGGAGGAGGAGGAGGAGTGCCTTTGCGTCAACAACCAATAGATGGTGCTGTTTTGGGTTGAAGTGGTGGAGCTCGGTCGAATGTAAGAGAGGAAAAGAAAGCAGCACATCTGCCTACGGCCATACCACCCTGAACACGCCCGATCTCGTCTGATCTCGGAAGCTAAGCAGGGTCGGGCCTGGTTAGTACTTGGATGGGAGACCGCCTGGGAATACCGGGTGCTGTAGGCTTTTTGTCTCCACCGCAGCTCCAGAATCCTTTGCCGTTTCTTCAACCAAGAGACCAGGCTGACTTTCTTTTTTGCTGCCTGGCCTTAGCGCCCGCCTCTGGCACATTGGAAGGAAAGCAGGAAAGGCCTGCTGCAGATGCCCTTCTCTTCCCTTGAGTTTTTTCGTTCTCCAGTGTCTCCTGCTCGGCAAGTGCATTGATGCTGACTCAGGCAGTGACAGACTTTGTATTTCTAGGTGCAAAGATTATTGCAGACGAAGACTGCATCAAGGAAATCAGGAGACGCTTATTTCTTGGGAGGAGAGCAATGTCAAATCTCGATAAAATAGTGAAGAATAGAGACATCACACTGGCAACAAAGATCCGCATAGTCAAAGCAATGGTATTCTCCGTAGTCACCTACGGATGTGAGAGCTGGACCATAAGGAAGGCTGAGCAAAGGAAGATAGATGCTTTTCAACTGTGGTGCTGGAGGAAAGTTCTGAGAGTGCCTTGGACTGCGAGAAGATCCAAGCAGTCTATACTGCAGGAAATAAAGCCCGACTGCTCATTGGAGGGAAGGAGAAGAGGCAAAGATGAAGTACTTTGGCCACATGATGACAAGAAAGGAAAGCTTAGAGAAGACAATTATGCTGGGGGAAATGGAAGGAAAAAGGAAGAGGGGCCGACCAAGGGCAAGATGGATGGATGGTATCCTTGAAGTGACTGGATTGACCTTGAAGGAGCTGGGGGTGGTGACGGCCGACAGGGAGCTCTGGCGTGGGCTGGTCCATGAGGTCACAAAGAGTCGGAAACGACTGAACGAATGAACAACAACAACAAACGCTCATCTCTGGAAACCCACTTCGTTACGTTGGGCAAGTCTCGCTCTCTCAGCCTCAGAGGAAGGGAAAGACATCCTGCTTGGAAACAAAATTTGCTAATGTCCCTTCCACACAGTTGTAAAAAATCCACATCGAACCGGATTATATGGCAGAGTGGACTTATAGAATTCAATTCAAAGCAGATATTGTGGATTATCTGCCTTGATATTCTGGGTTAAATGGCTGTGTGGAAGGGCCCTTAGCAAACCCTGTGATGGGAGATAATAATATCAAAGCCATGCTAATGTTGCAGGAAAAACTGTGGAGAGGGTTCTTTTTGAACTACAGCTCCCAACAGGGGCATTGGCAAATGGCAGAGTGGACTCATTGGCAAATACTACTGTGTCTTATGACTCCTCAAAGACTAATATGTGTATTTTGGCATACAGGCTTTTGTGTGCTATAGGTTTTCCTGATGGAATTTTCAGTCAGCTTAGAAATGAAAATGTTCACTCAGACCCCTTCTACACAGCTGAATAAAATCCCACATTTTCTAATTTGAACTGGAGTATATGGCTATGTGGACTCAGATAACCCAGTTCAAAGCAGATATTGTGGGATTTTTTTGCCTTGATATTCTGGGTTAAATGGCTGTGAAAAGGGCCCTAAAATACAGATCAGATGCCTTTATATTTGTGGTTATATGGCTGTGTGGAAGGACCCTAAAATACAGATCAGATGCCTTTATATTCGTGGTTATATGGCTGTGTGGAAGGGCCCTAAAATACAGATCAGATGCCTTTATATTCGGGGTTATATGGCTGTGTGGAAGGGTCCTAAAATACAGATCAGATGCCTTTATATTATAAGTTATATGGCTGTGTGGAAGGGTCCTAAAATACAGATCAGATGCCTTTATATTCGGGGTTATATGGCTGTGTGGAAGGGCCCTAAAATACAGATCAGATGCCTTTATATTCTAGACTAGCTGTTCCCTGCCACGCGTTGCTGTGGCCCAGTCTGTTGATCTGGAAAATAAAGTAATGAGAAAGTGTTGGTTTCTTGTTGTTGTTGTTCATTCGTTCAGTCGTCTCTCTTCGTAACATCATGGACCAGCCCAGGCCAGAGCTCCCTGTCAGCCGTCACCACCCCCCGCTCCTTTAAGGTCAATCCAGTCACTTCAAGGATGCCACCCATCCATCTTGCCCTTGGTCGGCCCCTCTTCCTTTTGCCTTCCACTTTCCCCAGCATAATTGTCTTCTCTAGGCTTTGCTGTCTCCTCATGATGTGGCCAAAGTACTTCAACTTTGTCTCTAGTATCCTTCCCTCCATTGAGCAGCCGGGCTTTATTTCCTGGAGGATGGACTGGTTGGATCTTCTCGCAGTCCAAGGCACTCTCAGAACTTTCCTCCAACACCACAGCTCAAAAGCATCGATCTTCCTTCGCTCAGCCTTCCCTAAGGTCCAGCTCTCACATCCGTAGGTGACTACAGGGAATACCATGGCTTTGGCTAGGCGGATCTTGGTTGCCAGTGTGATGTCTCTACTCTTTACTATTATTCGAAAGTGTTGGTTTCTAATATATGTAATTTCTTTATGCTTGTGGGTAAACAGTATTTCTTGCTGTTTCTTTGTCAGTGTTGATGTGGAGAGTGTCTGGCTTGCCCACCCTGGAACATGCAACATATCATTGTCCTTCTTTAAGGGTCCCTTTCAAATCTATGATACTATATCTGTGTGTGTGAATCATATCTATCTATCTATCTATCTATCTATCTATCTATCTATCTATATCTATGGCTGGATGGCTCTTTGTCAGGAGGGCTTTGATTACGTTTTCTTGCCCTGATGAAGGGAGTTGGACTGGATGGCCTTAAGTATTTTCTGTTGGTCATGGGGGTTCTGTGTGGGAAGTTTGCCCCAATTCTGTTGTTTGTGGGGTTCAGAATGCTCTTTGATTGTAAGTGAACTGTGAATCCCAGTGACTACAACTCCCAAATGTCAAGGTCTATTTCCCCCAAACTCCATCTGTGTTCATATTTGGGCGTATTGAGTGCTTGTGCCAAGTTTGGTCCAGATCCATCATTGTTTGAGTCCACAGTGCTCTCTGGATGTAGGTGAACTACAACTCCAAAACTCAAGGTCAATGCCCACCAAACCCTTCCAGTATTTTGTTGGTCATGGGAGTTCTGTGTGCCAAGTTTGGTTCAATTCCATCGTTGATGGAGTTCAGAATGCTCTTTGATTGTAGGTGAACTATAATCCCAGCAACTACAACTCCCAAATGACAAAATCATAATTTTTTTGAGTTATATTCTGAGTTTACATGGCTGTGTGGAAGGGCCCTCAGTGATGTTGCTTCAGAAGAGTTCAAAATGCCTCGCGCCCCGCCCCTTTTACCTCAGGCTCCGCCCACAATATGGCGCCGCTCGAACAGAATTAGAGGATAAGCCCCGCCCTCTGTTTAGCATTGGGCTCCGCCTCGGAATATCGCGATGGTTGAACTGGAACCGGAATTCAAGAGTCTTCCCGCCTTGCTCAGAAATAGGAGAAGTACATTGGACAGTCGTGCCGTGACGTCACGAAGTTTGGGAAGGCGCTGATTGGCGGACCCGGGAAGTATATATAGACGTCACCGGGACCAGGGCCTTCTTTCTCTCCGACTCCAAGGAGGCCTCCATACGGCGTTGCAACCGCGTGAGTGGCCTCGTCGTCGCTGTTTGTCCAGGCAGCGGAAAGGGGAAACAGATGGGAAGGAGTCCTAGCGGGAGGGGAAGGCCTGTGCTTATGTGCTCTTCCTCTTGGAAGCAGTTTTAACATGTGTCCCAATATCTGCACACTTAGTTGACCCTCCGTATCCACGAATACAGCCAATCACGGCATGAAAAGTTAAACAAGCAATCCTAAAGGCAAACTAAGGCTTTCATGGCTGGAATCACTGGGTTGTTGTAGGTTTTTCGGGCTATATGGCCATGTTCTAGAAGCATTCTCTCCTGATGTTTTGCCTGCATCTATGGCAAACATCCTCAGAGGTTGTGACCTCACAACCTCTGGGGATGCTTGCCATAGATGCAGGCGAAATGTCAGGAGAGAATGCTTCTAGAACATGGCCATAGAGCCCGAAAAACCTACAACAACCCAAAAGGCAAACCTTGATTTGACAATGTTATGAACTTTAGTTTTACTAAAGTTCTATAGGATGGAACTGAAGCATTAGTGGTTGTCCTACAACCAAATTAGTGTATACCAAGGGCCCGCTGTGTGTCTATAACAGGCATGGGCAAACTTTGGACTTCAACTCCTAACCGGCTTTTAGGAATTGTGGGAACTGAAGTCCAAAACACCTGGAAGGCCGAAGTTTGTCAATTCCTGGTCTGTAAACAGGCCCAAGTGTTGAAGAGGGAAAAAAGTACCCAGTTGTCCCAGCACATTTGCAATTTTTTACTTTTTGCCAATAAGCAAACATTACATTGGCCTATAAAGCCCTAAACGGTTCTGGCCCAAGCTACCTATCCGAACGTATCTCTGCTTATGAACCCACCAGGACTCTAAGATCTTCTGGGGAGGCCCTGCTCTCGATCCCACCTGCATCACAGGCACGGCTGGCGGGGACGAGGGACAGGGCCTTTTCTGTGGTGGCCCCTCGGCTGTGGAACGCCCTTCCCATGGACATTAGATCAGCCCCTTCGTTAATGGTGTTTCGAAGAAAACTAAAAACCTGGCTGTTCGAACAGGCGTTCGGTTAAACAATGCAATGTACACGATGGATATAGGAAACGGAATTATGGAAGACGAATTGGATCACGATTCTAGTTACGAGACGTTAATGTGTTGTTATTGATGTGTCATTTTGTATATTATGCTGTTAATGGTTTTTAAATTTTGTATGCTGTTGGATTGACTTTTGCTCTTGTTGTAAACCGCGTTGAGTCGCCTACAAGGCTGAGAAATTGCGGTATACAAGCAAAGTAAATAAATAAAATAAATAAAACATATACACACATATATATACACACAAAACACATACACAGACTGAGCCACAGCAACGCGTGGCAGGGGACACAAATTAACAAAATGTGTTGGAGGATGTATCACAAAGAATTTTTTTGCAGCTTAATAACCCGTTTATGTATTTTTATGATAGAACCAATTAGGAATTGATGTTTATAACTCAGGCAAAAATTGTGTCACTTAGAACCCTTCCATACTGACCCGGTATCCCGGGATGTGATCCCAGATTATCTGCATATCACAGGTTTTCTGGCAGTGCAGACTCACATATTCCATAAAGTATATAGTCTGGGATCATATCTTGAGATAAAGGGCAGTCTGGAAGGACTCCTAGTGATATTTAATATTAGTTAAAATGTCCTCTATGCGTGTCTAGGTCCTCCAATATGACTGCTCAACTTCCTCTATTTACACAGAAGGACCTAGGGCCCTTCCACACAGCCCTATATCCCAGAATATCAAGGCAGAAAATGCCACATCTGCTTTGAACTGGAATATATGGCAGTGTGGAGTCAGATAACCCAGTTCATAGCCGATATTGTGGGAGTTTCTGCCTTGATATCCTGGAATATTGCGGTGTGTGGAAGGCATGAAAAGTTAAACAATCCAAAAGGCAAACCTCGATTTGGCCATATTATGTAAGGTGTGGAGTTTTACTCAAGTTCTATATGTTGGAACTGAAGCATTCGTGGTTGTCCTACCAAAACAGTGTATACCAACGGCCCGCTGTGTGTTTCTAACAGGTATGGGCAAACTTTGGCCCTCCAGGTGTCAACACTGCCATATATTTTAGTTCAAAGCAGAAAATGTGGGGTTTTATTAAGCTGTGTGGAAGGGACCTGAGAGATTTTTGGAGATAACATCCCTCTAGGAATCTTTTGGTCCTCCAGTGCTATGTTCAGCTTGCAGCAGAAGTTGATTATAGTGTCATGTTGGAAGACTTAAGGGCCCTTCCACACTGCCCTTATATCCCAGGATCAGATGCCAGGTTATCTGTTTATCCCAGGTTATCTGGCAGTGGGGACTCTTCTATTCCAGTTTAAAGCAGATAATACCTGGCCCTTCATCCTGGGATGAAGGGCCCTGAGTCCACAGTACTATATAATTCAGTTCAATGTAGATTTTATACAGATGTGTGGAAGGGGCCTTAGAAATTCACAGAAAGGTATTTTACCAGGTCAAGAAACCACAAGTTATTTATTTGTCGTTTTTACTGGGATCCTCTGCCCCCAGCCTCTGTGAATGTGGGGACTGACTGTATCAGAGGCTACATCTACACTTTAATGCAGTTCAAACCTCAGCAGCCAGACAAAAATGAGCAAAATGTACACCTGTGGTCTGTGTAATTACTGTCTGGTTTTGAAGTTGGTTCCTGTATTTCCTATGTAATTTGCACAGTGAAACCACTTTGAAAGTGCATTAAATATGCAGTGTATACAGGACCTGAATTTCTGCTGTTTTGCTGTAATAGAGAGACACATTTCCTAAACAGTCACTGCATCCTGTAATTTGCACATTGAAGTAATTCTGAAAGCTCTGAAGCTCCATTTGAAGCTTTATCTTTTTTTGCAGTAATATTTATGATAAAGTAATAGAATGCCGCCCCTACTTAATGGATGAGGGAAAGAGTCTCACAGTAGTAATTTTCCAATTGATTTTCTAACATAGCTGATCCTGTTTTAGGTTTCCTGTCGTTGCTTTAAAAGGAAACTTTCACAATGTCCGGAGGTCTTGATGTCCTGCAAATGAAGGAGGAAGATGTCCTCAAATTTCTTGCTGCAGGAACCCACTTGGGAGGAACCAACTTAGACTTTCAAATGGAGCAATATATTTATAAAAGAAAAAGTGATGGTAAGATTCTGGTAAACATGAAACCTGGGATTTGGGGGAAGAATTTACCTGGACACTAATGTGTAGATGTCAGAATCAGTGGGCATATAATATTAGAGAAGTTTACAGTTTCTAATCTGTAAACTCCATTTTTTGTGTTTATGACTTTTCTTAGCCTTGCAGAAGATGCAACAAACAAAACCAGCAGGTGCCAGATGTCCCATTCGGTCATTTAGATAGATTATTTTCAGGCCTTAGGGCTTCTGGTGGCGTGGTGGGTAAACCGCTGAGCTGCTGAACTTGCTGACCGAAAGGTTGGTGGTTCAAATCTGGGAGCGGGGTGAACTCCTGCTGTTAGTCCCAGCTTCTGCCAACCTAGCAGTTCAAAAACATGCAAGTATGAGTAGATCGATTGGTACTGCTTTTGCGAGAAGGTAACAGTGTTCCATGCCGTCATTCTAGCCACATGACCTTGGAGGTGTCTGTGGACAACGCAAGCTCTTTGGCTTAGAAAGGGAGATGAGCACCATCCCCCAGAGTCGGACACAGCTAGACTTAATACCAGGGGGAACCTTTACCTTTAAGGCCTTACAGAATTGTAGGGTAAAGCTCTCATCTAGATGTTCATTCTACTTTTTGTGTGTGTGTGTGGTTTTGTTTTGTTTTTTTGCATAATCTGTTGGAACCGTTTTCCATAACTTTCTGTTGTCAAATTTAAGTAGCATTGATGACTTGAATATGAATGTAATATGGTAGGCAGTTTGACATGCTGCAAATTATTTTAACTGCACACTATTAAAGCTCAGAGCTGAGGCCAGTTTCTAGCCAATGAACTCTTGAGTGTCGGAAGTGTGCTACAGTAAATGTTGGCAGGATTTTCGCTAACACCAGGAGAGTTCTGCTCTGTGACTGGAGTTTGATAGTAGTCACTGCCACATTTTAAGCCTGATAAAATGAAGAGAAGTTATTGAAAATTGAAGATTTGGTAAATATGGAACCTTGTATTTACTGATGGGGTATTTTGACTAGAACAATGTTTGCACATCTGACTCCCATTTTTCATACAAGGCATTAATATTGGAGAACACAAGCATTTAAGTCTGGTTATAGTTATCAGGTTTGGAATGGTTCTTCACGTATTCCTTCCTTTCCCCTTTCTCTGTTGTTTTTAATAACACTGAAGGAGCCCCCGGTGGCGCAGTGGGTTAAACCCCTGTGCCGGCAGGACTGAAGACCGACAGGTCGCAGGTTCGAATCCGGGGAGAGGCGGATGAGCTCCCTCTATCAGCTCCAGCTCCTCATGCGGGGACATGAGAGAAGCCTCCCACAAGGATGATAAAAACATCAAAAATCATCCGGGCGTCCCCTGGGCAAAGTCCTTGCAGACGGCCAATTCTCTCACAACAGGATGCTCCTGACATGGCAAATAAAAATAAAAATAACACTGAAGGGACATTGCAAGCAGCTAGTTCAGTAGATGCGCATCCAATTTTAATCTTGAATTTCATGATATTTCGTGTAGGCATTTACATCATTAACCTGAAGAGAACCTGGGAAAAACTGCTGTTGGCTGCCCGTGCCATTGTTGCGATTGAGAACCCAGCTGATGTGAGCGTCATCTCCTCCAGAAACACTGGACAGGTACGGATATACTTATTGGGAAAGGAAAGTGGTGTTCTGATTATGTAATCACCGTGAAATATCTAATGAGCATGATGAATATTTTGGTGCTATTTGCTCTGTAATTCTGGAAGCTGAACTTCCAGACCAAAAGAAGAGAGACCCAAAATTACATGCTTGCTTACTTAGTTACTTAAACGTCTCAAAATGACATTCCCAGACTGGACTCTAGGTAAAAATGTGCTATGTATAATTGAAAACTTACCTTGTGAGAGTCATTGCATTTTATTTTCCCTCTGCAGCGTGCTGTTTTGAAATTTGCTGCCGCTACTGGGGCTACACCAATCGCTGGCCGTTTCACTCCTGGCACATTCACCAATCAGATTCAGGCAGCCTTCCGTGAACCCCGCCTTTTGGTAGTGACTGATCCAAGAGCTGATCATCAGCCACTGACTGAGGCCTCCTATGTGAACATCCCCACCATTGCCTTGTGCAATACAGATTCTCCTTTGCGTTATGTGGATATTGCTATTCCATGCAACAACAAGGTAATGTGTACTCTTCTATATTGAAGCATAGTTAAAGGTACTTTCTGGATATAATTTGAGTTCGTGCTGTGCAATTTCCTTGTTCCAGCGATGGGCAAAGGCTGGTTTTGTTCAGAAATGGTTCTTGTGCACACTGTTAGAAATCAGAGATGAGGTCAGTTCCTGGCTGATGAACTCTTGAACACAGGAAGTGTGCGACATCAGTTTTGGCAGGATTTTTCGCTAACGCCATCAGGATCTTTGGTCCAATGAGTGGAGTTTGATAGTGCTTCTTGCCACATTTTGATAATTAGCCCCACTAATTGCCAATCCTTTTCTGGGCACAATTTATTTTAAAAGTTATTTATCTGTGATAAATATTTAATTGTTTTTAAATGTATTGGGTTGTATTATGTTATTATAAGCCACCTTGAGTCCCTATAGAGGGGAAGGTGGAGTAGAAATAAAGTTAATAAATTACTTTGTAACCTATCAAGTGACTCTTAAAGAATATTGGTGCACCTGGGGATATATTTGTTTTATGTGTTGTTTAGGGAGCTCACTCAGTTGGCCTTATGTGGTGGATGTTGGCTCGTGAAGTCCTGCGTATGCGTGGCACTATTTCCCGTGAGCATCCATGGGAGGTGATGCCCGATCTCTACTTCTACCGGGATCCTGAAGAGGTAAACTAAAATTTGTACAGATTTATTATATGAAGCAGGGAGTATGTGATATGTATATAGCATTGAAAACAGTGGTTATAAGATAGTGGTCCCTTGCTTATTGTGATTAGGTTAGTGTAATGTACATAATATAATGCTCCAGTGGAAATTTGAGAGTTGGCTGTTGCTGAAATAATGAATGAAAAAGGGACATTGCATATAAGTAACAGAAATTCTATAAAAGGCAAAAGATTTGTACCATATGAAGCGATACCAGTGTAAAGATATAGAGGAAATATGTGGTGTGGTTGGGAAGATTTTAACAATTAAAATTAATAAAAAATATTGAAGAAGAAGGTAACATGGTTTCTATAAAAAGTCAAGTGTATGAGTTGTATGGAAACACCATGTTCATCTAAAAGTAAAGTGTATGAGTTGTATGGAAACACCATGTTCATCTAAAAGTAAAGTTATGCCAGAGCTTTCCAAACTGTGTGTTGCGACACATCACTGTGTCAGCTGCAGTGTGTAGGTGTGTTGCACAAACATAACAAGAAACATGAGCCTTTGTGAAATAAGAAATAAATTATGTATTTTTAATTAAAGGAAAGGTTTTGTGAGGTATATTGTTTCCCTGTTCATTTCATTATTTCATATTGGTTACTAGCCGTCCCCTGCCACGCGTTGCTGTGGCCTAGTCTGTGTATATGTGTTTTGTGTGTATATATGTGTTTATGTCTGTGTATATATTTGTGTATATGTGTATATATGTGTGTTTGTGTGTATATATGTGTGTGTGTGTATTTATGTGTGTATAAGTGTGTATTTGTGTTTATATGTGCATATATTGTGTATGTGTGTGCTTGTGTATAGGCATGTATGTGTATATGTGTGCGTATACTGTATGTGTATATTTGTGTGTGCTTGCGTATATGTGTGTGTATGTGTATATGCATATTTCTGTGTTTATATGTGTACACGTATATTGTGTATATGCATATATGTGTGTTTATATGTATGTATATATATATATGTGTGTGTGTGTGTGTAGGTGTATATGTAGGTGTGTATATGTGTATATTTGTGTGTGCTTGCTTATATATGTGTATGTAGGTCTGTATGTATGTGTGCTTGTGTATATGTGTATGAACAAATGTGTATATGTATATATGGTTTATTTTGGGGGTTTTAAAGTATTCTGCTGGGGTTTTTTGTGTGTTTTTAGGGATGAGGGACACTCGTTGGCCTGATAGGTGTATTGTGTCCAAATTTGGTGTCAATTTGCCCAGTGGTTTTTGAATTATGTTAATCCCACAAATGAACATTACATTTGTATTTATATAGATACTGGGTTGATTTAACCTCTGTTTGCTAGTAAAATTACTGAATTACCTTGTCACAAAATGATGCATGTCTAAAAGGTATGTCGCCAACATGAAGTGTTTGGAAAGCTCTGTTTTAGGTTATAGAACAAACTACCTATATTACAGGTGTAATTTCAACTATTTTTTCTTTCTTTAAGATTGAGAAGGAAGAGCAGGCCGCAGCTGAGAAGTAAGATAAACGTATCTAATACATCCCCCGAACGCCCCCTCTCTGTCTATGATTCCCGTCTTTAAGGTATAGCGAACAATAGGACGTCCGATGAGATATCTCACTGGAAGGACGTTTATACATATATATAAACGAGTTGTAAAGAGAGAAAAGCAGACCAAGAAAGAAGCCCTTTCCTCACAAAGTAACTCGTAAAAACTCAATAAATTGTATATAATAATTTAGACTAGAAGGGGAGAACTTTTTTTGGGCTGAGGGCTACATTTCAATATTGCAAACATTATGTAGGATGCATGCCAGTGTGACAACAGCTAGTATCAGTGGCAGTGGATGATATATACATCCCTTCCCTGCCACACTATATATCCTCTAGCCATAACATTGTTGTTTTTTTAATATATATATATATATATATATATATATATACTCTAAAAAGAGACTCACAGCAGCATACAATAAAGCCAGTGTAATACAGTTTAAAATCTAAAAATATACAAACATTAAAATAGAATTAAATATTAAACCAGTTGAAAACATATTCATAAATAAAACAATTGCCCTTCCTCCTTGTCCTCCTCATACTATAACCTCGTGAAATCTCACCCCTGGCATTGAGAAGTGGAGTTCAACATTCTCATTTAGTGCCATTGAAAGGGTTAGCCCCTCTAGAAGCTAATCCATATTTTTCATTACTTGACATTTCACTGAAGCATTGATACCAATGGAAGTCCTATTGCTGAAGTTTTCAAAACGAGACTGGGCACCCCATAGGTTTATGGATTCCCACCCTTGAATTAGACTGTCACTTGTTTCCTTCTTCAATTGAGGCGTGCCTTTTTGTAGAGATAATCCATATCTATCATTGTGTAATTGGGGTGTTTTTTTGTTTCGATTTTTAAATCAATTCAAAATTTCCAAAATTTTTTAAAAAGTTCGATATTTACGAAATTTTGTAAATTACAAAACAATACGAAACAATTACGAAACAATTACGAATCAATTCGTTAAGGGCAGACGCGACCACGCAATACGCTAAAAAACCTCCAAATGGGACAAGGGGAACTTCTGAAGCTTCCCTCTCCCTCTTTTGTTGACTGTTGGTGTGATAAAACAAACAACAACTATATTATTATTATATATTATTATTATATTATATTATATTATATTATATTATATTATATTATATATTATATTATATTATATTATATTTATATTATTATTGTATATTATATATATATAATATACAAACACACATTAAAAATACATGAATGAATATGATATATGAAGTGTAAAAAAAAGACACACCCATTATTAGGTAAGAATATAATCCATATACAATGGTAATCATTAACAATATTACAGTATTAGTATAGTATACTATTATTAAGATTATTCTAAATATCATGAATTATAGTAATCTTATTATACCAACCTAAAAAATAGCTATCAAGCATAATTTAGTATCTATTCTTGAGTTCCATGACACTAAAGTCTTGTACCAAACCAGAGCCTGTGCCAAAAACATAATAGCAACAGAATCAGATTACCGTTAGTAAATCGTGTTAAGAGTTTTCAAGCAAACCGTCCTAATATACAGGGTTAGGAAAACATTGGTGCAGCAAGGACAGTGTTCTCAAAACAACGTCCCAAGCAACTACAGATATGCCCCACCAAGCAGAAGAT